GAATATTCCAAAGTCTTCCTCGAAATTTTAATAGCTGAAATACGTTTATGAATATTCTAAATAGTGCAGTTTTTGATCTTTGCTCAAATAAAAATTTATATTCAAGATGTCAACAATGTTGGATAGTTATGCATTGATTTGACACGATCATCATATAAAATCAACATAAAAAACGTGAACTGATTAATTTATAACTTCGCGCAAAAATTTAATATTTGTATTTGTGAGATCTAGTGTAGATATAATGGATATGTACAATAGCCTTATTTGCCAGCTAAACTGATGGTTAGAATTATAACAATAATATTAAATTAAGAAAAATGGAAAACAATGAGCGAATATCAACACGGCACACAAAACAGAACGTCAGTAAAAAAAAATTCCATTCGAAATGCAAAAGCAAATAAGATGGATCGTTCCTCTGAGTACTAATGATCCTTGAAAAACGGCTATATTTTTCACTTTATGCATTTTGTATTCGTATAATGAGGTTAACAAATACATGTGAGTTCTATATTTTAGTTCCAAAGATGCTGTGCTGATAAGCTTTTCTGACATATGCTAATGAATTTGCTTTTAACAAAGAAAACAGCGAGTTGAAAATGAGCATATACGATAAAAAGCCAATATGATAATGGACGAACATTGTTATGTTATTAAAAAGTTAAAACAATTTCTCAGGTCATTATCTGACAATTTAAAAGAAAACTTTATCTTCATAAAATTAATGATTTAGATAATAATAACACTGATTTTTATTAAAAATAATTAAAAAAAAAAGTAGTACTGTACAAAAGAAAACATGTCAAATTTAAAAATTTTCTTTATTTAAATAAAAATGAACTCTATTTGTTGATGAATGATAATCATTTATTTTAATACATAAACATTGAAGTTCTTTAACAAGTGGTTTTGGACCACAAACAAATACACCAATATGACGTTTTTGTGTCATTTGCCAATCTTCATTAATAATATCTTGAAAATCAACATTAAAATTAGGTCGTCCATAATGTGTTTTACTTTCTAAACCTGTCCATATGTCACGTTCATCAGTATTACTTCGTATAACTGCTCGAGCTTGTCCAATTGACCATTTTGTTAAATAAATATTATAAGTTAAAAAATTTATTCGATCTCGAAAATCACGTTCAATTTCTTGAAGCATTTCAGCAAACCATTCATAACAAGATGTTGTATTACATATCCAATAAAAATAAACACGACGAAGACGAGCATGATTCGATTGAGATGAACGTATATGTTTTAATATAGCAGCATAAGGTGTTACTAAATATTCAGGAAAAAAAACCTAGTTGTTTTTTGAAATCAACTCGAAAAAAAACAAGGGAGAAAGTGCAGCTCACATTTGAGACAGCTATTGTAAGGACAAACATACCGATGTTTGGGTCAAATAAAAGAGGGCTTCGGATAAACCTAGAATTGGCCCGAACAAGCCTATGTTTTGCCGTTACTATAGAGGAAAAATCCTGTTGCAATCTGATTCGTTGGTAGCTTGTTCGTATCGATCAATCAGATTGCGAGAAGCTGTTTCTCAGCTATTGTAAGGACAAAACATAAAATAGGAAAAAACCATGCTCAAATCTGATTGGTCGATACGAAAAAGCGATCAACCAATCAAATTTGAGCAGAAATTTTTCCTATATTGCTAGGGCAAAACGTAGGATTGTTCGGCGTCCTCTTTCATTTGACCCGAACATCAGTATGTTTTGTCCTTACAATAGCTGTCTCGAACGTGAGCTGTACACCCTACCACTACTTACCTCCAGTGCCGAAAGGTGCTGGAATTCCGAACTTTCACTTTCCCCCCGCTCTTAAAAAAAAATAACGTTGTTTTCTTACCTCCAATCCCAGCACCAATAAGTATAACACCATCATAATTAAAAACATCATCAGCTGCGCTACCATATGGTCCATCAACTGCTAATCTTGGTATATCTTGTGGATACATTTGAAATTTTTTTGATAAATCATTTGTCCAATTTCCAACGGTTCTTATATGAACACTAATATAAGATTCTTCAGCAGCTGATGTAACTGTAAATGGATGCCATTCAAATATCGAAATTGAAAAACATTTTAAATAAATATATTGACCAGGTTGTGGTGTACTCATAAAATTTTTACGAAAACGTATTTCAATAACATTTGATTCATGTCGAATAATATCAATTACTTCAACATGTTGTAAACTACGTATAAAACGAAGAAAACGTTCAAGAATATAAAGACAAAGTGGAGCACATAACCACATCCAACTTGTTGCTTGTGAACTATTAAAACGAGGATAAATAAGACATTGTTGATTAATACCCCATTCACGATAAAGCGAAGCACATATTTCTGGATTATGTTCATTGAGATTTATTTGTGATTTAATTATACCTTGAAATCCATGAAGAATTAAACAAATAAAAAATATAATAAAAAATTGATGAGCAAACCAAAATATTTCATAAAATGATCGACGTATAAGTGATGTCGATGAACTAAATATAATCATTAAACAAATACATAAAATAACTCCTGTAATTCCTGCTGTTGTACGTAACATTGATCCTATACTTAATGAATTTGAATTAATTCTATCAAATGGATTTATTTGAGACTCTGATGATTGAAGATAAAGTAAATTAAGTGCTGATGAAAGTGTTTGATATTCATTATGAATATTAATTAAACGTTCATAATTATAAATATGTGCTCCAATATGTAATATTGACCAAAAACAAATTGCATAACCAATACAACGATGAAAACCAATATGTTGATCAAAAAGACGTTTTGTAAAACGACGAAAACGTGATTGTGTTATACATTGTGGTAAAATATATCGTATTAATGAAAGTAAATTTCGACAAACAGGTAAAAGAATTAAAAGACAATTAAAATTTAAACATAATGCTGCTGCTCGTGCAATACTTAAACCATCAGATATTAATGAACGTAAATAAAAATATGAACGAGATTGATGATAATTTAAAAATTGTCCAATAAATAGAGCAATATTTATTACTAACCATAGAAATAAAAAAACAATTGGAGCAAGATCATTTACAATAAATAAACGAAACCATAAACGAATAGATTCAAACGACATTCGACTAAAAAATAAATATATTTATTTATTTTTTTTTTGTAACAAGCAATAAAATAATCATGTAGAAACGAAAATGTCATGTGAACAAACTACCTATCATACCTTTTACGGTAAATTGTTGAAGATTCTGTTAGAGGCATTGATGCGTCACCAGGTAGTAATTTTTCATTTACAATTACTGTCGTAGTTGTTGATTCTAATTTGACATGTTTTTGATTGTTTTTTTTCGATGTTTGTTTGATCCGAAATACATTTTTTGAATGTTGTTGTTTTTTATCTGAATTACTTGAGATTAAAAGAAGAAAATTCGTAACACAACAGAAAGCTTTAAAGTTCTTTTTCTACGTACCATATCGACAACATTTGCCTGAAGATGAATGAATCATACAAAGAAATGAGTCATATATTAATTCATAATGTTCGTTCTATTACCTCAATGCACACAACAACAAAATTGATTGATGAGTAATTGGAGTAGTTTATATACCGACATCTATAATAAATTGTGTAAAAAATTCTTAAAATAAAATCAAATGACTTTTTATTTTTATTAATAAATGAAATCATCCACAAAACAAAAATCCTTCTCAAATCATGAAAAATATACTAGAACGAGACACTATTGATATACAGTGTGTGATTGTATATTAGTTTTTGTTATGGTCTGTAGGGAAGAGCGATTGAAATTTTTTGCTTCAATACTCCTTTTAATTTGTAAAACACAAACTATCAATTTTCATAATCAATTTAAGATCTAACATTCAAACAGTCTTGTTAAGTTTAGTATATGAATAATTCTTTTGTATACATCACTAAATAATAGTAGCGTAACTAAGTTATCACAACAGTAGACTAAAATTTGATTCTCAATGGTTTTATTCTTCATGTTGACCTGTTCTAGTAGGCAGATCTATTATGTATTAAAATACCAATATACAGTTCCACAAATGTCTGTTATCGCAAATTTTGTGAACGTCTCTGTTTTCAAATGGATAAACTGTATTTACGCTCATAATTATTAGATTTAACTGCTACACAAATTCATGATAAATTAGTTACTGCTTATAGACAAGGTGTTGTTTCATATTGTATGTATAGTTGCTCACTGAATTCATCGATTTTCAACTGGATTGAAACCGTTAGACGATGATCCTCGAAGTGATCGTCCGTTATCCGTCATTACTCAACAAAATATTGATGTGATCCAGTACCTGGTGAATAAGGATCCACATATTAGTATTGATTATGTTACCAAAATCATCATCAAAAACAAGTAACATAAATTTACATTATAAAATTGCGAAATCGTATATTCAAGATATTGTCTTTGAGAGGAAAAAATGAAAATTATGGTTCAGCTACCATACTCATCTGACCTTGTTGTTCCTTCAAACTTTTAGTTGTTCAGTTGTCTAAAATGTGGTCTTGGTACATATCCAGATGCTACAAATTTAGTTAAAGCATTATCCAAAGAGCTCAATTCAATACTTATTCAAGAATCCCAAAGATATTCCAGAAGTAGATTGAAAGAATGAAACTTTGTATTGAATATGGTGGAAGCTACTTCGAATATTTACTCTAAAAAGATTAGCAAAATGTTTTTTCTATGAATAAATATTTGAAAGTACGAGAACTTATTGACTAACCTTTGTATTTTTAAGTGCAATTATTGTTTCTTTTTCTTTTTATTATTTTTCAAAAAAAAAAAATACTCCATTATCATCAAACAACAAAATTACTCAAATTTTTTAAGATTTAAGTAAAATTGGAAAATAATATCGATGACACATAAATATTGAAATAGAATAGATTTATTAACAATATTTCTAATTATGTTTAATATATATGAAAAATAATAAAAATAAAATAAATTTCTTCTCTAGAGTTCTTCTTGTTGAAGAAAAAGCCATTTTTTTACTTCAAATTTATAATCTGCAAGTGCATTAATACATGCTTTCTTTTTAAGTATTGATGATGATGTATTCATAATTAATTGAATCTTTTTCTGTGGACAATGATGTTGCAAAAGTGCTATTGTACCATCATAATCATTAGCATCATGATCAACACAAATCGTTTTTCGAGCTGCATCACTATGTGGAACTTCTCCTCTTTCCAAAAGCATCCGATCAACAGCATATGCTCCAAAACCAGCACCTCGTCCATCATCTGCTAACAAAAGAATGATACCTACACCATAACGAACAATAAGTTGTACAGATTGTTTCAAACGATCACGATGGGTTGCATGACGAAGTGGAAATCGATTAAATAATGATTCCATTTGTAATCGTACAATAGGATAATGAGACATACTAACTGTACCATGTGTAAGAATAATAAATTCACGTGTACTGATTATGTCATAATATACGTGAATCTAGAACAATAAAGATGATATATTTTTAGTTCGGAAAGCATTCGCCAAAATCTAAATATGTTAATTTACCTTAAACCAATATGGTGTTGTTAATAGTTCACATACAGGATCATTTCGACAATGTTCCTCATGCTTTTGTAAATTATTGACATCAATTTTAATTAAAAATCGATTGTTTCGTAGAGCTTGATAGTGAAGTATACAAGCATTCGGCATATTAATGTAATAATCAATCGGTCGATGTTTAAACATTTCATAAAATTGTTTATCAGTCAAAAGAATTTCATCATTAATTGGTTTCATAGGCAAATAATATGAAGCACAATAAATAAAACGTTGAGCATTGGGTACTATAGTTGGTTTGAAAAGAGGTACCGGTTCCGGTGCTGATTTACCACGAAGTGTTGAATGACTGGCACTACGCAATAAATGACCACTAGCTTGTTTAGATGCTAAATAGGCAGCATTGAATGGTGATGATTCAAATTCAAGTGGTTCAGTACTTATTACTTCTAATTTAAGATCATTCATTGCCTGAATTTTATCTGGATTATTAGTAAGTAAAATGAATTTAGCATTACCAATGCCAAGTAAATCACAAATTTGTGGAATATTTTCATAATGTCGATGATCTTTTTTCAATCCCATAACTGTATATGCTTCGAATGTTGAAATTTGATCATATGATGCTTGTACAAGCATTCGATCACGTGATTTTCCAACATAACCAGCACCACGACCTTCTTGTAAAAGATAGAATAGAATACCATGTTTCTTTTCAGATATTATTTTCATAGCGCCTTCTAATTGTTGTACACAATCACAATCACTTCCACGTAATGTTTCACTTGTTACACAAGATGAATGAAGACGAATATAAAATGGTTTTTCTTTATCTTTAACTTTTCCATAAGTTAAAGCCATAATATAATGTTTTCCAATCAAATCTTGAAAAACATATGCATGAAAATCACCGAAACGAGTCTAAAATTAATATATTAGAAAATATTTATTTGAACAATATGTAAATCAATAAAAATTTTCATGTTCAATATTAATCTACATGTAAAACTATTGAGATTAAAGAAGAATAAAAAAGACTTTGTAACAATTATTCTAAATTAGTTCGAAAATCTAAATTAACCGATCATTTTTTGTTTTTACTCTCTACTTTGTATGCTATTACAAAAAAAATCTCTTACATCAACATTGCATTCAGCAATATAGAGTGTTGTGCCACGTAAAGGTCGTATTACAGTTTTGCCATGTAAATTTTTTATTTCATCTGTATCATTTGGATCGCATTTTGTATTGACTAATATACCAGTGGGCGAGAGTAGTTGAAACAATAGTTGTGAACGCGAGGTGAGATCAGACTCTGATCTATCTAGCCGCGGAACCTGTGTGTCTGGCTGACTTTCTTCCAAAACTATGTCACTGCCAGATGAGTCGCTGCTATCATCATTGCGTACACGAAATATTGGCTTGCGTGACTTGCGTCGTTCAGCATCAGGTGTAATCACAATCGAGACCGAACAGTCAGGTGACATGAGTCCTGACGACTCACTGTTGATCATATCGGTCATATTTCGTAGTGTATCGATGAATTAAATTGAAACGTTGTTTTTTCTTTCGATAGAAAAAGTCAAATTCGAATAGAAAAAATAATATCATTTATATAAGTGAAGACAAACGACATTGCATTCTATCGCCGAAAATACAACTGATAAATTTAAAATGTGAACTAATACATCTGTAATATGTCAGCGTATTTTAACAAATCCATTAGCAAAGAGACGTTCTTATAGATAAAGAAAATGAAATATCAATAAAACGATACTTCGTTAAAAATGCATTTAAAATACTCAGGTGTCGATGTTTCTTTTATGAGTATACGAGCGATTTTTTGCTTATAGTGGCATTGAAAATAGTCATACGATCATATTAGTCCATTTCCGCCGGATTAACTCGTCACTAAAAATTAGTCTGAATCAAATATGATCGATTCTATATGGAATATTTTATGTCAATAAGTCACTTAAGTCTTCCCTTCAAAAACGGAAGAAGGGGATCAATGATTGCTGAAATTGATTCTCTTAAAAAATTTGATTTTTCTCTATATCATACTATCATGGAAGATGCTTGAAAGTGTGGGCTCTTATTGAATTAATTGTATAGCACTTATTTATATTATGCACAGATCGATTGGCAAAAGTCAATATTTGTGTGATGTGATAATATTTTTCAAGAGTTTTAAAATGATATTAAAACATATCGAGGAAAAAACATTGATCACTCAAAAAAGTCCTAAGAACACTATTTTTTCACTGGTATCCAGTAAAATTCGGTAAGAAAATAATGATTTGAATGAAAATTAATATGATATTCCGAATCGGCACTTCAAACTGAGTGAACTTATGTGTATTTCAAATATTTTCACGAACTTTTTTTTTGTCAAAAAATTCACTCTTGGCTCCTTGAATTTCATAAAAACTCTGGTTTTTTTAATTGTTTATTCATCTGCTATTTAAAGTTCTAATATTATTTTATAACCTTCGAACTTGATTCTCATTGTAAAAATAGATTTTTGATAAAATGCATTTTTTAAACTCAACTCTAAGAAGGACGAGGAATGAATTTTTCGACTAAAAAAAAAAGTCTATGAAAATATTTGGGTTATACGCAAGTTCACTCAATTTGCGAGATGCAGTTATCCATTGAAGCCTAGCGGTTTGTCGCCGTCGATGAGTTAGTTCTCGTTTCGCCGAAAAATTTTTTTTGTGTGTTCTCGTTTCGTCGAATTTTTTTTTTTCGTGTGTTCTTGTTTCGTCGAAAATTAAAATTTGAATGAAAATATGCAGCATATGCTTAGCTTATTCATAATCATTTCATTTTCTTTAACAGACTAATTCAAAAAAATGATTCTGGATGGATCTCAAAAATATTTATTAAGAGCATTACAAAGATTACACAGCTAATGGAGTCATCTCACTAATATCGAAAGGGAAAAATGCTGACATTTACAAACATCGAGCTGTGAAAATGTTGAGATGTTAATAGTGTTGAATGTATGGGTAGGCAATGAGAAAGCTATCATCCACATTCTCATATATACCGAAACAATCACACATTCTCATCCTAACCCCTATTTGTCCACAATTAAGATTTGTTATTTATAACCACTAACTAAATATTTGGATCAAGAATTTCGATTTACAAATAAATTTTTCGTAGTGGTATTGGATCGTTGGTTGAATGATGTAACGGTAGAGTTTAATTTGTTTCTTTGATGCCTCTTAGTCTATTCAAGAAAACGAAAGCAATAAGAATAAGCTACTTATATTCTTCATCTTTTCTTTCAATTTTACTTTTCGACGAAACGAGAATTCACCCATCGATGCATCCATAAAATCCCATAATATATATGTTTAAACAGCACAGGAGAGAATGAAAACTATACCACGTGTCCATTGGCGATGTTTAACTTGAGAACATGGTGAAAAAAAATGATCGATCGATGTAATTGTAATCAATGATGCTGAGGCAAGATATGTTGAATATTGGCAGAAATTTCGTACATAACACACCACCAAATGTTCAGAAAAGTTATGTTGAAGTCATTGCGAATGAAAACAAACGGCTGATTAATAATAATCTGAATTAAAGAAGTATATGATGCAGTCAAATAGTAATTACAACAGGAATTCAATGGAAATGTACGACGAGTAAAGAGAATAATATTGAATAAATGACAGATCAGACCAAAAACAATTAGAATAGGAACTATACAACGATAAAGATATATAGTAATCTCTTGAACTGAAATAGACAGTTCTATCGTTAGGTTAATTCTCAACTAAAATTTATTTCTTATTTATCACACACTATCCGCTTGACTTTTTTTAAATCAAAATGTTACATGATTACAAGTCACTTTTGATTTGCCTAGAATGATGCTATCGAAATCGATTATGATTTATACCAGTTTCGATTCGTATAGATCTTTCCTACACTAGACCAAAATACTTATCTTTTTGTTCAATAAGAAATGTAATGCACTTGTTTCCATAAACGTTGAACTAAGTAATATATTTTGAAATCAATCAATGAACATGACAATATTGTTCTTTCTTTTAATATCTTTTGTTTTAATTGAATAAAGTTGAGCTGATATTTTCTTATTAGTCTGATTTTCATAATCAATTCACTTCTTTCTTTTGACATTCAAATCGTATAAGATCGAACATCTCGCAAAACAACAATCGACAGAGAGAATCTTCTGTTTTTATTTAATATGAGATAAAAACCAGACAAACAACACCTTTATTGAAGATCAATCATTGACTAAAATTGATCTGTTTTCTACTAGTCTTAGCTACATCAACAAAAAATAATTGTCCAAAGTGCAACTCAAAAGTTTAAGTAACAAACGAATGTGAAAAGTTTTTTAGTAGTTCATAAGATGTACATATTATTTTAATAATCGGATAATCTATTCTCTGACGTTTTAATGAGAATTTTTTCGATAAATGTCTGTGTCAATCAACATTATCATTAAAAAACTGTTAATACTGATCAAGTTTGAGTTTCCTACATCTTTAAAACAAAAATTGTAAATCAAGTATAATAGAAACATGTCAAATGACTGTTGTTGATTATTCTATCTGTTGTCCAAATTTTAGTCACAAATTGATGAGAAATGAATAAGCAACATTACAACTATGTTTCGTGTACTCAAGTATCATTGAAATAAAGAACAGAATTAAAGTAATGACCAAATGCTTTGTTAATCTCCAGTCTCAACAAACAAGTCTAGTTTATTGTGAAACTGGAATCTGACATCACTATGAGACTCACCACAGCGAACAGTCCTCTCCGTGTTTACTTTCCGATGTCTGCAGATGGTTTGACTAATTTCGAGCTGCTCACGAACAACGATGTCTTTCCAGGAATTTGGTCTAAAAGTCGATCATACTTAATTTTAGTCATCACTTTAATGGCGAACTCACTATGAGGCAATAGTCACTAATGAATAGAACTCGTGTCTAAAAATATCGTTAAAATCAGTATGACAACGAAATTTTGTTTCAACGATATTCGAGTATATGAAGTAGAGATGCAGTTTTCTCATCCATTTTTCGTCATTTATGACTGAAACGTTAGCAATAGATAGAGTAATCAACAGTATATCAGTTGTACAGGCTCCATATCAAATAATAACAATGCAAAGTATAGACTGAAAAAATTAGGGTGTTTCATTCATTTTGATTAGGACAATATATGCTGCAAAGAAAGTTGAAATTAAAGGATAATCTCAAACTCTACTATTTGAGAAATTGAAGTTTTAGTCTCCTTTTCAGAGGAATTAGATATTTTCCTACAAATTTTAGGACAATTTTAAGTCACACTACTATATATACATACTCAATAACTATGACAAGAAAGTTTACAAGATCATCTTGAAATGTGTACGACATTATTTTAAATATTGACAGACAGGAACAACAAATAGAACATTTCTTCTTAAACAAAGTCCCTTTCATTTTAATGAAATAGCTAATAAATCAAATGATAATAGAAATGCCTACCAGATGATCATTAATCATCTTGTTAATAGGAAAATGCGAATTAGTATCCAAGTCAAAATCATTTCAAAATAATTAAATTCTATTCAATGATTGTCCAATATTCTTTGAAGATCTGCTATATATTAACTTATATGAAATAAAATTCGATTCAACATCGTATGAAACTATAATAACATCATGTAAACTGTCCGGAATGTTGGAAAACTATTGACTGTGTTTCTCTATTAAGACTTTTGTAACACTATATTTGTTATCTGAATCATGGTAAATATTTGAATATTTTTAATAACACAATTTTATCATGAAAAAGGAAGATAAGAATAATTTTTTTAGCAAAAAAGTTTGCTCTCAATACGCCAACGCAACACAAAGAAGAGAGTTTGTTGGGAAAACGATGAAACGTCAATTGAATTTGATTTACATGCGTCACTAAGCCATCTGTCATGTCAATTGAATATTGATTTGCAAATAGCTGAAAACATCACGTCGCAATCTGTTGCATAAAACATTGCAGTTGAGACTCTTGCATATGAGAAGAAAGAGTGGATTATTTATGTTCGATCGAAATTCATTGTGTTGATTCTTCTAACATATCAATTAAAGAATAAAAACAATTTGCTTTGTTTTTCTTTTTTTAGACTTGATATTAAAATGCAGATGAATGCTAGTAATGAAACAGATTTTATGCCAACTGAATCACAGAAAAATATCACTCATGAGATCTATCGTGTATGTTTAACTATCATTTTTATATTAGGTGTCTTTGGACATTTTCTCAATCTACGATTGTTTACTCGCCCAACATTGATAAAAAATTCGTGTTGTCACTATTTTCTCGGTTCGTCTTGCGTTGCTCTCATTCGGTTGTTCTTTGGTGTATTTATATGTATGCTTCATTTGGGCTATCGCATTGATACACGAGAGTCTACTATCGAATGGTGGTGTAAAACTCGCCTTTCGATCATTTATACATCGTACTTGATTTCATCTGGTCTGAA